AAAAAAAGAATTTTTTTTAAGAAAAAGTCAATTATTAGTTTAATTTGATGAAGTTAAATACCAATCAATAAATCAATTGTTACACTAATATAGAATTTTATAGTGTATTTAATCATTAGATCTATAAAATTCTCATCTTTTTTTTATCAAAATTCAAGATTAACGTTAAAATTTAGTTATAGAATAATGTTTTTAAAAAAAATTAGAGCTGATAAAAAACAACATAAAAAATCCAACTTTTGTTTGCGTAAATCTAGAGATACTCATTCAAATAATAATTCATCTATATCTAATCATACTATCATTTTAGATAAACAACAAAATATTTGTGAAAATAATACTTCATCACAATCAAATAAGAATAATTTTTATTATAAAATTAATGAAAGTATTAATAATAATCATGATACTAGCAAAAATAATAAAGATTCTTATCACAATTTTAATGACTTTAACGAAGATCTTATTGATGATGATTTTACAGAAATTTATGATACTGGAGAAGAAATTAACAATATTGATGAAAATGTAAATGGAAATAGTGATATTTATGGAGAATTTAATTATATTGACGAAGATTTTACAGAAAATTGTGATACAAATGGGGAATTTAATAGACGAGAATATGATAATAATAAAAAACAAAATTGTTATTCTGGAGATGCAGGACCATATTTTCCAAATTTTACTATATTTTTATTATTTTTATGGGTTATAAAACATCAAATAGGTATATGTTTTTATCTATAAAATTACAGTACTACTTTTAATATTTTTATACTAATCATATATATTTTTAAAATTAGGTTTTGAAGCATATAAGGATTTTGCAAATATTGTTAAATATCCCAAATTTAATGCAAATGATGTTCCATTTTCACTCGCAACTGTTAAAAAGTATCGAAATGGGTTACCTCTCCTTCCATTTAAAGGATATACTATTTCTCTTAACAATCATAATACACCATCTACCTCTAAACCTACTACTCAAGCTTTTATTTTTCCCTTAAAAAATATTCTTTGCCGTATATTATCAAATCCACAGCTGCATGAACATATGTACTTTGGTCCAGGTATATATTGTGAAAACAAACAGGAAATATGGCATGGAGTTCTCTGAAACAAATCTCCATTGTTTGGTACTGAACACATTAAATTAAATGAAACAATTTATAATCTTGGTGATTTCATCAAATACTACAATATACATACAATCAATCAATTATGTTATGGTCGAATTATATCAATCTTACATATTAATGATTCTCATGATATTTGTATTAGAATTGAAAATATTATTGAATATAATTCATTGCCTTTTCAAATCAAATCACAGCAAAGAAGAAATGCTTCTTATGATGGATGTCTATGGATGACTGATTATACAATAATTATTAATCCTATAAATATTGTGTCAAAAGTAGATATTTGGTTAACAGATATTGGTGAACTCAGCAATTTTCAATATTTTATAAATGAAATTGTATATTGTATCAATGGGCAGTGAAGCACAAGACCAATTGATTTACGACATCATCATCCAGTTGAATATATAACTACACAAAATACTCCATCTAATTTACCAATTTACAAATTTTTTTTAGATATCTACATTGATAAGTTTGGTCCATTTCGTAATGCATACCATGGTATTGGTGGTATTTATTTGCAGATCGGAAATATGCCACAGATTTTACGTCAAAAACTAAAAAATCATTTTCTTATTGGCTTTATTCCTTTTTCAGCTTCATGTGATGAGGTGTTACAGCCACTAATTAATGATATCCAAGATCTTGAACATGGTTATGAATTGGAAATTAGTAACCAAACTGTTTGGGTTACTGGTGGATTGGGTGTCATAAAAAGTGATTTACCTGAAGGTAATGAACAATCAGGAATCAAGAATCATAATGCACATTATGGATGCCGAAATTGTATGATCCATCATAATAATTTGCATGATATTACTTTTGATATTGTTAAATATGCAAGTTACAATCACATAACTACATCTAATTTTGAAGATATAAGTAATGCTAAAACTCAAGCTGAACGTGAAATACTTTCTACTCAATATGGAATTCGTGAGAAACCTTCTAGTTTTGATAGTATTTCACGTGATAGACATATTCAATAATGTCCACATGATGCATTTCATTGTATAGGTGGACTTGCAAAAGAAATGTTGCAATCAACATTTGGAATATTAAATTCAATAGGAGAGAATGAATTTTTAAATGTATGGCGTAATTTTGAATATCCATCAGTTTGGTCTCGTCAACACAATCCTATTTCTCATTTAAACTCATATTTTTTTTCTGATTATCTTCGTTTAAGTATGATCATGCCATTTCTTATTAATAGATCATTAATATCCACTTCAATGCTAAATAGAACAATTGTTGAATTTTTAATTGAAGAAAGCAAATTTACAAAACGTCAAATAATAGATCAATTTCTTAGTTTATGGGCATCTTTTTCTAAAATGGCATCATTAATATTTTGCAAAGAGTTTTCTGAAGATAATTACAATGATTTACAACAAAATATAATACATTGGTCTGAAAAAGTTGGAAAGGTCTGTATCTAATTGATTTATAAGAGAATTTGTAAAAATTTGTCAATTACTTATTATTTTTTATAAATAAATTCACAGTTTTTTCCTAGAATTACTCAATTACCAAACTTCCATATATTATGTAATTTTACTATGCATGCACGAAATTTTGCAACTCTGGTAAATGTTGCAGTTCCTACAAAAGAAATGATGCATAGACTATTCAAGGCAATGATTCCTCATTCTAATAAGAAAAATATAGAGATGGATTTTGTACAAAGTGATAATTGTCTACAAACTCTAAGATTTTTGTTGGATGGTGGTGTTGATAAAAGATATGATACAGAAAGACAATTAAATTTCAACATGTTATCAAAAGAACAATGTGTACGTGCACTTCTTAGTTCATGGTACATTTTGCCATCTAAGTTTGATTTAGAACAAGATGATGATAATACATCTTTGCAAATAACATGTATGGACGAAAATTACATTAATATAAAAGTTCAAGGACTATATACTAAACACGATTTGCAAACTAATAACCTTGAGAAAAATCTTGAT